CAGGTTTAGTGGTTAGATTAATGAGCGGTTCTAGTTGGAGCGGTTAGAGTTGTAGTTTGTTGTAAGTCTGTCTTAATAAGTGTAGTTGTACTGTTTTCAAAATCATCACCACCCAGATTTTAATAACTTTATTTTACTTTAGGGATACATTTCTGAGTTGTCTTGCTCTGCCAAGTTTCAAGGGGGAGACTCGCGCTTCAGTTAGGCCTGGGGAGGGAAAGTGTTGCGTTTCATGTGATTATTAGATTTTCCATATGTGGGAGGACTCCAAGTACGGGAAAAAAACACTGTCGCCAAGTGCTGCTCAAGGGGGATTTGTTGGGGTTTTCTCATTAATGATGATGATGATGATGATACTAAGGTCTAGAATTGTATACTTGACAGTACAGTTTGACACCATGTAGAATAATATATCGGCCACAGATTTGTTTGTTAGAAACAAACGTGCATCATGAAACTAATCCTTTCTTGAAAGCTAAATCTACCTTAAGTAGAAATAGTGTTATCAAATATCACTTAACATTAGGTCCCTGCTACTTTGTCACCTTTTTAAGATGTTTTACTGCCACAGTGTAATCTTGTATTTCCGTATAGCATCATAGATTAAGACATGTTAATCTTTCCTTATTTTAAAATGCAGGAAGATACCAGTGTGTAGAGGTCCTGATAGTAACCCCAGGAGTCAAAGTCTTAACTGTTGGAGCTTTAAAATATAACATTCAGGGGCTTTTTCAGTGTCAGGGCATTACAGCTCATGTTACAAGTTACAATTATTAAACCTGTTGAGTCCCTCTTTAAATTAATATATTTGCTTGAAAAGTGACTGGGGTAATTGTAAGATTCAGTTCTTCTTACCATTGCTAACTCTGAGAGACGAGACAGTCCAAGTAACTCCAAAACAGTGCTGATTTATTCAAAGGATCACAGGTAAAATTATCATTACACGCTCAGGTATCTTGCACCTCCAAACTGCTCCCAGGCAGATGTAAGATGAAAGACCCTGAACCCACCAGGCCTATACATTATATCCCCTCGGTTGGGCTAGCCCCATACTACACAGAAACGTCAACCGAGACGTCTCTGTTACCAGCTTTGCAGCTGGTCATAGCAGTAGTCAAAACATGAAGCAAATCAATGTGTGTGTGTCTGTTGGTTAAGTGGTGTGTAGCTAAAAACATTCTCACACGACCTCTAGTAACATGTCGTGTCTTAAACATAAGAACATATTATGGCTAAGGCTACAGTTATACACGTCATAATAATAATATTAAACACCCTGTCTGCTGACAGTCATCAACTCTTCTCTCTAGTTATCCTTGACCAGATGTACCCTGTAGAAACTCATAAGCATGACTAAGCATTTAACAGTCTAACTAGACATCCTATCTCCACTAAACATTTCTAATACATAAAGTATCTATCCAATATCTAGCTGACTAAAATACCTAACAGTACTGGAGGGAAATGTCCAGGTAGCTAGAGAAATAAAGAAGAGTTGGGCCAAATCATAGTGTGTAAATACAGGATAGCTCATGGACCATCGGTTTATTTTTTATTTTTCTTGTGAAATGCAGTGTGCTTCCATTAAAATCGTGTGTGGGTAGTCCAGTATTGAATTAAAGTGGTCACAGTATAGCAGGTTAATTGGTTTTAGTTTAACTTTAGAAATGTTTTGTGAGTGCATCTCGGGTACCATCTGTCGGCCACTATTTTCGGTAATTTTCCAGTGTTCTATAACGTGTGAACAGCTGGAGCCCAAACAGGTCTGGCGACACGAGATTATGGGGAAGGAAATGTACGCACGTGTTTATGTCAAGACTCCGCCCATGTGTTTTGGTTCCGCTGTCACGTGACGGTTAATCATAGCTGCTAATTTTAACAGTTTATGAAATTAAAACAAACACGTATGTTTTCGCAGGTCGTTAAAAACAAGTGCGGTTTATTTAAGTTAATATTCATTCGCTCTAACCGCGGCATATCTAAATCACCTCTGAGGCACCGACTTATTTTTGAAAGTTCAGAGCGGAAGTTGTTTAGTAGTAGTAGTAGTAGTACTGGGCAGCGTCCGAGGATGAACCGTCTCCTGCTTTACGGTGGTTAAAACATGGAATCGCAAGAAAACCTGTCCGGTCAGCGCGTCCGTGATGAGCAGGATGCCAAGCGGACCTCCGCGGATGTGGACACCGCAGTGTTGCTGCTGGGAGCGGGAGTAACGGCCATCACACATCCGCTGCTATATGTGAAGCTGCTAATACAGGTAGCCAGCTAACAGTTAGCTGTCGATGCGCTGCTGTGTTTTCTTTGGGCTCGTTCAAATGCTACCTGTGTACTGTACTCATTCAGCTTAGCGGCTAAATGCAGCTCGCTACCCGGTCGCCTCGTTCCCCGGCTCCGGGGGTGGGGGGGTGGGGTTCCTCCCAGAGTCCAGTGAAGTGCGGTTCAAACATCCGATTTATGGCTAATGTATCACTAATCACGTATTCGTGCAAATTGCGATCGTTGCTTTTTCTCAATGGAGGCTGTTAAGATGAAATTGTTGAACCGAGTTAGAACGGGTCCACCGTTTACACTGACAACGTTTTCTACGAACCAGTCAGTCAAACCAGTTTCACACAGGCTCATGCAGTTCAGTGCTTTACAAACTGACAAAAGACGGAATAAAAGTGAGGAATACGAAAAACAGGGACTAAAAGACTAAGATAAATACAAACGTCAATTTAACAATTAAATTTGTGAACAGTGCAGTACATGGACTTTTTTAAATTGGAAAACAAAACACGAGGAAATAAAACATTTAAATATAATTTTAGTAATAGAAGTTACTAACTGGAATAAACAATGGCTGTAAAATAAGTCTAGGAACAGTGGTTTTTGATCCAGACCTGGACTAATGTGGTCTGGATGGGCAGTCAGTGAAATGAACCTTTGTGGTTTCACAAAACCTGACAGTGGGTTTTAGGATTAGTGGCCGATTAATAAGGCTATTTGGTATCTTTAGATTATCATTATTGGCCAGTGTCTGTTCTCTAAGGCCTGACTAACGAGTGTCTGTCAACACATCTGCAGGTAGATTTTTGGTTACTTGTGGGGTTTTTTAATTTAAAATTAAAGGAGTGTGGTAAATGTACATCCCATTTTTTATCATCAAATGCTTAATATTTTTAATGTGTTGATCTTAATTGGTTTAAATTTTTCATTTATTTGATGTAAAAAATAAAAATATCTACATTATATATATCAGCCACTGGCCTCCTCCCTCTAAAGGTCAGCACAGTCCACTGAAAGCCCATAGTGGTTGATCACTAACTAGGATGGTTTACCCCCTTTCACAGTCATTGCTGGATCAGAAAGTTGATAATCTGTCACTCAGTATTATTAATTTCCTTCTGGACTTCACCTTAAGGTGTTACACTTTGACAGCTCTGCCTCATCTGGTCTCACATTTCCTCCAGCGTGTTTAGTTTAGATCTGGTGAGAGGAGGGAAAACTGTTTCTTTTGACATCAGACCACGTATTCCCACAGAGCAGAGAAGCTGTGTTTAATCTCATGGTTGTCTCTAGGTGGGACATGAACCCCTTCCCCCGACCGTGGGCACAACCATGTTTGGAAGAAAAGTCTTATACCTGCCTGGCTTCCTCTCCTATGGTGAGTGGCGTCATTAATCAGCATCTTGTTTACTGGACATGAGTTAAGAGCAGCTGACAGGAAGTGAATTGGTTTTCAGCACAACACATTGTCAAAGTGGATGGAACGACAGGGCTCTTCCGTGGTCTCTCACATCGCATCGTGTCCAGTGCTGTCTCTACTGTGGTCAGGAGCAAACTGAAACGGGTAAGCCAGGACTGAGCCTTTGAGTTTAATTAGTTGAACAAGTTACTTACTAATAGAGAATGTGAAGTTGTCATCACGCTGTCTTGAATTATGGGTAAATGTTATAGGGGCATCACGCTGTTTAGCCATCAGAGATGTACACTACATACGTCTATATACAGCTACATACAGTAGTGCATGCTTCAGCTACGTCCACTTTACTGTTCAGTCTGAGGACAGACAGGACAGAAGTCAATTTATCTGCAGTGTCTGTGTCATCTGCTGCTAGCTAGCGTTAGCTCCCGAACTGAGAGCTGAGATCAGGGTGCAGAGTCAATGTTCAGTCTCCCTCTAGGTCCCCTAAGAGTTAGCTACAGTCAGCTAAGGTTATCCAGTTTGAATCACTGCAGTCAGTAAAGCCAGATCTAAATGATTTGAACTTCTTAGCAAAACAGCACAAGAATATGTGCAAGTAAATACAGCGCCTCCCTCCTAAAACAGTGCCCCAACACGACTTGACGTACCTTAACATTCTCTAAGAAAGCTGATACCAGTATGTTTTCGAAATATTTTGTATTTAAGAGTTGTCAACACATTTCACCGGAGGAAAAGTGGATTATTGCTTAGTTTGAATCCATCAGTGGATGAATTACTTCACTATAAATGTTTCACTCAGTTTCTCATCTGTTATGGACTTGAATGAATGAAGTTCACATTTCACAGCCTTAGAAGATACAGCACTACAGGCTGTGGTGTAGCAGGGCACTTTCATTTTATTGCTTTTAACATCATTCAGATCAGGACATTTTATTCTTAAGAAGGCAGACTATCAGTACGTGATTCACTGCAGGCCTGGATCACCGGTGAATTTTGTTCATGAGATAAACTGTGAAGACAAAAGTGTTGAAGAACCCACTGTTCATATAAGTGGATCTTAAATGACTGGCATGTGAGTAACAGAAAGAAATGCCTTTGGGTAAAATGTTGTTTTAACGCATTGAAAGGTTGTCAAAGTAATTGCTGTTCATTATTCAGAAGGTGAAGCTTCTGTCCAAGAAAGACGAGCCGCAGACTTCACTCAGGAAAGTGATCAAAGAGGTGAGATGTGATTTTCACCTGCTGTAGCAGAACGTGGACGCTGCGGCATCAGGCCAGAATTAGGGATATATTTGAAATGTCTTGTTGTATTTAATGCCTTATTTGTGCTGGATATTTTGGTATTTGAATGAATTGGCTTCTTTGGTTCTTAAACATATGCATCATCTAAGTTCAAGACTCTTCTTTAGTCATCCCTTTGAGCAGGCAGATTAAAAGATTTTGCTGGATTTTAGACCATTTTAATCAGCCAAAGTTTCTGTGGGGTCACCTATGTTACTACTTCTTTTCTTAACCTGTTCTTTTATTTTGGAACAAGTCTTACATGTATATCTGTAAATTGTCTTCTCTCTCCAGACCACACATGAGATGATCATCCAGTGCCTTTCCAGAGTAGCCACTCATCCTTTTCATGGTACGTCCTCAGTCAGGCTGCTTGTGTGTTTGGTTACCAGCTACGCTCTGGATGCTTCTGCCTGATCCACACAAACGTCACACCTGAAACTAAGCTGCAGCTAATGACTCGTTATCAGTTGGTTGTGAAGTTAATTTTATCGATCAGTTGTTGTTGTTGTGTATAAAATGTGAAAATTTGTGAAAAAGGCCCATTTCAGAGGCCGTGGTGATGTCGTCATGTGTCTGGTTTTGTCCAGCCAGTGACCTAGAGCAGAACAGAGAATCCTCACATTGGACCAGAGGAAACCAGTGAATAAATGACTTAAAGCATTAAACTGTCTGCATTAACCAGCCACCCACGTTGTGCTACCTCTACAGTATGTGCCATGTTATAACCAGGGACAGTGTGCTGGCTCTTTCACTGACCAGCTGTTTTCTTTTCCTTTGACAGTTATGTCAGTGCGTTGCATGGCTCAGTTTGTTGGCAGAGAGGTCAAATATGGGTAAGACTTTGTATAATGTTGCAGATCTGCTGTAATATATCAATAAAGTACCTGCTCTACTCTACTCTACTCTACTGTCCAATATGTACATGTCCTTAAAAATTCATGACCAACCAAGCAAAAGAACCCGATGGCAGATGAGTTGTAATTTGGATAAGAGTCAGAAATCTGGTTTTTAGGTGTTTGTGCTGTGGACTTCCTGCACGTTGATTTGAGTCCGTGTCACATTTACAGAGGGGTGTTCAGTTGTATTGTCAAGATTTTTAAGGAGGAAGGAGTTGCTGGATTCTATGTGTGAGTTGCACTTAACTGTTCCTCAGTCACATTTTTATATTTACCCAGATCTTGACCCTCCCCCTGTCTGAGCAGTGTTTTGTGTGTTTGCAGTGGTCTCATGCCCCATGTGCTTGGAGAGGTCCTCTTCCTGTGGTGTTGTAACCTCCTGGCTCACTTTATTAACACCTACGCTGTAGACGACGGTGTAAGTCCACCACTGCACACGTACTGACACGCTACTGTGGTTTAGTAAGAGAACGATGGTTGACTATTACAGTTTACAGCCCTAATGGCATATCAGGAAATACAAATTTTGGCATGTGTTGATTAGTCTAGGAAAGATATTTGCATTTACACACAAAACATGCACCTGTCATTTTACATATCGTATTTTAGAATTTTAAAACAGCTTAATATGTTAAGGTACAAGTGTCAGAACCACAACACATCATCATTTCAACTTGGCTGAGAGAAAACGGTAACGTCACACGCTCTCTAAGGCCCATGACACAAAGCCCGCCGTCGATGAGCGTCGGTCACCCTCATCTTCACAGTGTCTCCCGCACTTTTCTTCTGATTTGACATGTTGAATCAGTGTTGGCCTCGTCAGTGAGAGAGACCACTCTGATTGGCTTGTTGAGCTCAGCGAATGCACGAGATGAGAACAGTTCAGGGAAGCTCATTCAGCCTGTCACTGTAGTATCCATGATTTTACCTATTTAGTGTGAGTTCTCTTTGGTTTTCACCTCTGACCTTCTTTATTCTTCCACAACCAAAGGACCAAGTTTGATTTTCAATAAATGTCTTGACAGGTTCACGTCCAGCTCTCTCCTTGTGTTTTTGTTGCAGTTCAGTCAGGCCTCAGCAGTGAGAAGCTACACTAAATTTGTGATGGGTGTAAGTTGAACGTTCACACTGTTATTTAACATATTTTTCCTTACAGCAGATTAATGCAGTGTTTTTCTCTAGATTGCAGTGAGTGTTCTAACATATCCGTTCATGTTGGTGGCTGATCTCATGGCAGTCAACAACTGTGGGTGAGTGGCACGCTCAGACGTTACTCACAGATTAATCATCAGGGATATTAACAGATAGATGGACATGTTACTGTTCAACAGCATGAAGTCGGTTCGTTCAGTCTGGAAGCACGTACCAAAGGGTTTAGATTTATAGTAACAAGGATGGATGTTTATGTATATATGTTATAGCCTGATTCACATACATTTAAAATTAATCTGAGGTTTAACGAAATTTAATATAACTAAATACATGAATCATCTTATTTCTAAAATCTTGGCTACTGTCATGATGCTTCATTGTGATTGGTTGTGCTTTGTGTTGTCAGCCTGGCTGCAGGTCTTCCTCCTCACTCTCCCATCTTTAAGTCCTGGCTGCACTGCTGGAATCACCTGAGCCACAAGGTACGCTCTGCTCATTCTGTGCAAATACACACCTCTCACTTCAGACTAGATTCTACCTGAGAAAGTGTATTGATAATGTGTGATAGAAAGGGAAGGACACACGGTGTTCTACCCAATCATACATGAGAGCTGATGTGACACAAAGCAGACTGGATCCAGATGTGGCCTTCTTCCTTCTGGATGTGTTAGCATCTAAAGCTAACCTGTTTGTTTTGGTAGCATTAGCCACCTAGCATGGTCTGGATTTTACCTTGTGTTGTAGTAATATTATTTTGATCTGGGAGGAACTGGAGCTTTGTGTCACATCAGCAGAAACAAGTGTTTGTACTGGACTGACACATTTACTGTTAGCTAGCTAATGCTAGCTTCAGACTGGAGGCTGCAATTTGTACAGTTTGTCCCAAGCAGGCATCCATAGGTTACATTGTTGCTAGGAAACAAGATGTGATGGGAGGGGCAAAGAGTGGCTTATGGTATCAGTTTGTTTTGAGTCTCACTAGACCCTCTAAGCTAAAAAGACGTTGGGTGGAATAGGTTCAACTTTTAGGTTCAGTGGTAATTAATAGCAATTTACTAAACTATGTCAAGTGTTGAAGGGAGGGTTTCCCTAAATCAGGGGGATATAACCAAGGTTCAGAACTGACTCCCACCCCAGTGTTGTTCATGTGGTCACTTAGTTTGATACAAAACTCATATTGAAGTAGTGACTATTCCAGTACGTGTCCCTTCCTGTTAGGGTCACCTCTTCAGAGGATCCAGCTTCTTTTTCCGTCGGGTGCCTGTGACTTCCCTGGCCCCTATAGAGGACTGACATCACCTGCTTAGGGTGTTCTTCGTCATCCTCTTGCTCAGAGATGTTTTCCACCCCGACGTCAAGCCGCTGCTGCTGTTATCCAGATGTAGCAGCAGACACAGCTCATGGAGTGCCAATGAACTTTTTGTTACAGGAGTTTAAGTTCAGTTCAGTCGGGTCAGGACACACATTTTTGTTTTCTTTCACCAGTTTGAATCATTTCAGAATCAGAAACCGCAGTGTCTTGCAGCAATCATCTGTGAGTGCCCTACAACTCTGATTGCATGGCTTCCTCTTCATAATAACTGCTCCTGAGGCTCTTGGGCGCTGCAGTAATTGATGCTGTCACACAAGGCGTACCCAGAGATCGATTCTAAGCAGAGCATTTCCAGCTTCTGTGAACAGTTGGTTCAAACAGCCTGTTATGCACTTGTTAAAGTTGGAAACATGTTTTAGAAGAGGTTATATGACCTGTCTAGGTGTTTAACTAGCTGTCAACCAGCTCAACTAACTCTGTGTTACAGTAGCTATTTCTGTAGTGACAGTTTTATCAGTATGATCCCAGTTAACATTTATTTTTAACTAAAATCCTCTCAGATTGTTATTCCTGGTTCTTACCCTCTAGTGACTGTTCTGAAGCTGCATGAGGTTTGGTTTGTTCACAACAGAACATCTGTCATTTCTTTGCCATCCAGTTAAGTGTGTGTGTTTGGTTTTGCTGAGATTAACACAAAGTATTGCAAATTTTTAAAAGTGTAAACACTGGGGATAGAATAAATTTTAAAAAATATATGAAATGCATGTCTGCAATGTAAAAACAATATATTAATATGACCCAAGTTGTAGATGTATACAGGATTATACACATGGCCACTTTATTAGGTACACTTGTTCAGCTGCTTGTTAATGTAAATGTATAATCAGCCAATCGCATGGCAGCAACTCGGTGCATTTGACATGATGGTCAAGATCTGCTGAAGTTCAGATTAGGGAGGAATGGTGATATGTGACTTTGGCATGGTTGTTGGTGCCAGAGCGTTTCAGAAACTGCTCATCTACTGGGATTTTCACACAGACATCTCTAGGGTTTACAGAGAAGGGTCTGGGCAAAGAGACGGTGTCCATCGAGCAGCAGCTCTCTGGGCGAAAATGCTTTGTTGATGGCAGAGGAGATTGGCCAGACTGGTTCAAGTTGATAGAAAAGCAAGGGTAACTCAACTTGTGTGCAAAAGAGCATCTCTGAATGCACAGCATGTCGAACCAGGGCTACAGCAGCAGGAGACCACACCGGGTGCCGCTCATGCTAAGAACAGGAAACAGGCTACAATTCACAAGGGCTTCCCAAACTTGGAAGAAGCATTGCCTGGCCTGAGTTTCCATTTCTGCTTCACCATTTGTATGATACGGTCTGAACAACATGAAAGCAGGAGCCATCCTGCCTCGTATCAACAGTTCAGGCTGCTGCTGGTGCTGTAACGGTGTGGAGCACCTTTTCTTGCCACAGTTTGGGCCCCTTAGTACCAACTGAGCATCACTGAAATGAAATCCTGAGTATTGTTGCTGACCATGCCTGTCCCTTTAAACCAACCCAGTACTGGCCAGGCGTACCTAATAAAGTGGCCAGTGAGTGTATTTTCTTTTTGTAATTCAGAAATATTTCTGTGGTGTAAAGTAACTTTTTAAAAATCTGTCATTTGCTCCGTTGCATTTAAATGTCTCCATCTGAACATGTTTGTGTGGGCCGAGGTCCGTTAACCCTGTAACGAAGGCCGACCACGCTCGCACACGTGACTGATGAATGGGTGATGATCATATTCTGACTCCAGCTCCCGGTCTCGTTGCTATACATGTAAATGTGTTGTGATGAAAATAAAATGTTTCCTACTCAGTAGTGTTTAGTCCAAGTTAACAATACTGGCACATTTATTGATTAACCACGTTATTAAACCAGTGTCAGCTGAGATTGGCTCTGGCTGGACGGCCATTAGGTAAGATCTGCATTTACACAAAGAAAATGACATGGTTATTGATGGATGATATTTTGTGCCACGTTGCTCGTTTCTGTCTTCCATTGTTTTGTTTTTTTTAATATATGCAAAAATGGAAGAGAAACTGTTCCCTGAGGTATATTTGTTGTTGAAGCTGTGATGTATGCGCTGTAGTGGATAAGACCTGGTTTAAATAAGTAATTAAAATATTTTCCCTTAACGAAACCCTAAATGAAGACAGACGTGGTGTAAACGTGAACATCTGCAGGTAAGAGAGCTGTGTATTCTTAACTAAAACACAGACAGACTGAGCTACACACTGATGTCTTCACACTTATTTCCTCAGGATGAGATGCTTACTTATAAGCATGGAGGCAGTTCTGTACACTGCAGAGTAAATGTGCTTTAGAATCCAGTTGGATCCTGGCACATTGTCTTTGCCGTCTACTGAAATTACCACTAACAACCTTCCTGCTCTGTGCCAAAAAGTGAACAAGCCCTCTTCTGTTGTAACAATAGTTTTCATTTTAATCAGACTCATTCAGAAGCAACATGTTGAGCTTACTGCAGGTCTGATCATTAAAACGACCCCATTACATCTTATGCCTCTAAAAGGCCTCAATAGTTTTTTTGTATTTGTAAAGTGTTTAATTTTAAAGCAACAGGCCTGTTAAGTTGCAGTCTACATGTAAAGGTACTCGGCTACCGTTCGTCCACCTGTTAAGGAACACAGCACAGTGAGTGCAGAGTAATTCATTGTCAAATAGCAGAAAACAATACAAAGACAGCACTGGTTTAAATAATGTACACCCACCTTCCCAAACCCCCCTCACACCCAACTCTCAGATCACATGTGGTACATGACAGCACATAGCGTGCGCACACATTCCTGGCAGAAACAATACACAGAGTTTCAACCAGTCCAGCATTACATTGGTTTTACTGAGCGTTATCACACACCCACCCACACACACACACACACACACACCAGGAGGTGTCCTCTATAAAACAAGTCATCCCATGTTGTCTCTAAAACACGCCGAGCAGGAGCCTTCCGGCATCACTTTGCATAAAAAATGTTCCCGTTCTAGAAAAACAGCTCCGCTGCATGCTCTTCTAAAATGTGTTACACTGTGCTCTACACACTACCTGCACACAATAGGATTTATGTTACAGACAAGAAAAAACCCTTTAGACTCAACTGTCACTGTGGAAGCTCATTCCTGCCAGGGAACGTAGAGAAGGAGGAAATGCAAATTAACAATTATAATAAACCAAGTCGTCTTCAAATCAATCATTTTAGCGTCAAACGGTCGGATTTTGACATTGTAAATAAATACGTAACTTTCTGACTCACCAGTTTAAAATGACATACTGTATTAAAAAAAGAATTACAGGATCTACCAGGTTTTCAACTGATGATGTACGGTACAGCAGTAATTTTAAAAGTAATCTTTTTAAAATCTTCAAATCCAAATTCAAACTAAACAGAATCAAGCAAGTCGAACCTACGAGGGCATGTCATAATTTGACTTAGTAAATCTTTGCCATAGGTGCGTGGACAGTAAATCCCACAATTCAATCTAAAAAATCTCAAAAACAAAAAACATTCTGACCTTTTTTTGTTTTTCCTTGTTTCTGGAGGAATCAGCTTCCACAGTTAAACCTCATGTCAGGAGAGAGATTAAAGCAAAGTGGTCCAGGCTACATTCACACAAACAGCATTTTGGAATTATTGTGAAAAATAACTTCTCTATGACTCCAAATTTCATTTACATTCATTTTAAATGACAGCATTTTGGATATTGTGTTCACTGTAAAATATGCATCCGTGTGCTTCCAGGTTTAAAAGGTAAATCCATGTTTGTTGTGAGGAAAAGCACCGTGTCATTGTGGAGTTGCTGTTTAAGATGCTGACTGTCTCTTAGAAAATGTTAAATTGTGGCTGATCATGTTGAGTTTGTGTTCAGGCTGGATGTTGTGCTACTGTTACTGTGTTATATAGATAGAGATGTTTTTGATTTAGCCTAACCTGATTGATAAAACCAAGAGAAACACCTCTGTATAATGCAGCTTCCAGTGATCACACAGGTGAATCCGCACAAACTGAACGTTATCACCTTCATGAAGGAGGATTTACTGCAGGACTGTTGGATTAGACTGACTTAGATCCTTATAAACAGAGAGGACAATCGTTTTAGAACACATGATCTGGACATGGAGATAAAACTAGTTGTAAATATATTCCTGTCGGTGCTCTGCCTTCACACCTTTATTTCAGTTCTATACCAGCTTGTTTAAATCATTAGCTCTGTTATAAGGACTGCACTGTACCTAATAAACTGACACGGAGTATTTTCAGACAACGCGGCTGCATCTGTCTGTGGCATTACAACAATGTGACAAGCTCATCATCATCAGCAGCAGCACTAATGTACCCATTCTGTAGAGTAAAGGGGCTTTCAGACAGGACGCTGTGGGCGGAGCATAAGGTCAAGCATGCCATCCATGCACGCTGCACTGAAGTTAAAAACAAAGTCCTCACCAATACAACTAAAGCCAGAGCTTTTCGCTGACATGTAGAGAGATAATGTGCAGCCAAGTCCACTGCTTGAAAAACTAGTTAACATCTGCTAACCACCTCCTGGAAAGCTTTATGGTCCCCTAGCAACTGGCACCCTACATTTGCATATGTGCGCCCTCCTCTGCTGGGCTGTGCCCAACCCCCGTGGCGAGCGCAGCACATACCGCGTCCTATCTGAAAACCTTTTAACAGTGGGTCACCAGCTACTACGTCGAACCAGGGCTAACTGCGTTAGTTTGAAGTTTGAGTAGAAAATGTATTGATGTGTTATACACAGGTGGCATTAAAACAGTCAATTTGCCTTTTGATATTCCGTCTTATCTCTGTCAAACCATGTGTGGACACAAATGTACCTTTCCAGTTCAATAAAACAAACTAATGCGCTGTAGGCCTGACTGTACTGGAGTTGGACCAGACATCGCATAAGGTGCTAAAGATAACTGAACATGAGGGGCCACTGTAAAAATGTAACAAGACGCACCATTCTAATATAATCACGCTTTTCAACAAGCAAATCTTGCAAGTATCACTCTATGAAGAAGAAGACGACGAAGTGACAGGGATCAAGCAGAAACATCACCAAGCTCACAGTCTTTGGTTAGGTCATGTTAAAAAGCCCGCAGCACTTTAAGGAAGCCTCGCAGTGAGCGACAAGAAACATCTGGACAGAATCCCTGCAGAGCACCTGGTGCAGTTCAGGTGACAAAGTAATGCAATGTTCAAGCTGGGATGTACGGATTTGGAAGGAAAAGAGCTGCTGGTAGGTCCAACAGGTGCTGGTCTGTAGAGAGAGAATGTAAATGATGCTGGTAGAAGCAGTGAAGACATCCCACTGCGTCCATGGTAGAGAGAATCACAACCACTTTGATCCCAGTTCAGTTTTCATGCACGAGTAGGAAGGTACCCTCGGAAGCATCAGAGAAAGTGAAGGCAGTAGTTCCTATGGTGGAAAGCAACAGATAAAACTGAACCTCTATTATTATTTGCAAAGTCCTGTGTGAAGAGAATCCTCATCACTCAGATCATGTGAAGAACACAAAGTTCTCTGGTCAGGGCTCAGCATCTTCAGACAGCAGGGGTTTGGACAAATCATTCAGATGGCTGCTCATCTCTTCCCTGACTTCATGTAGGACGGTATAGCTCCTCGAGCGGTCAAACCCTCGAAGCGTTTGTAGGTGTAGTTGATGAAGACCCAGTCCTTGTTCTTCAGGTTGGCCTCAGTCTGGTTGGACACCTGGGTCCCTGGAAAAGAAGAAGAAATTGTTTAAGATATCACAACAGGGGAGCAAACGCTGAAATGTGCTCTTCAAAAACAGGCTGGGTACCTGTTGGCGTGAGGATGTCCGAGTCAGGGAACTCGTCGAAGTTTGAGGTGTCGTCGATGCTTTTGATCTCTATAGGAATGGCAGCTGGTCTCTCTCTGCAGAACACAGTGGATTTAGGAAAGAGATGAGGACATGTGCCCATCGTGACAGTGTGCATTTGGGAACTTCACAGGCAGAGAAACAGCTGATCTGAGCTGGCTACTGTGTTAGCCTGACATTGGTGAACCAGGTACAAAGAACTGGGGGGGGACATGGGGCATGTGTACCTGATGTGGTCGTAGTCCACCCCCTCAAAGAAAGGATTGGACTTGATCTCCTCCACACCTGCAGCACCGATCCTGTGCTCCTCCTCACAGCAGAACCTGCACACACAACATGTGATCACTTCCTATCAGACACCAACTCGCTATGAACCATGCTAAATGTGAGATGCTATTAGATAATTTAGAAATATTCCAAACAAAGCAATCCCTCTCTTGTCAATATAATCAGTGACTGAGTAGCCGCATCAACCACTACGGTGAGCAGAGGTGTGTTCCTGCCTGAGGATGAGGTCTTTGGCCTTCTCTGATATAGGCACTTCTGGAGGAAAGGTCAGAGTCTCTCTCCAGTTCATCACTTTCCTGTACGTCTCCTGAGGCGTCTCCGAGCAGAACGGAGGGTAACCTGCACAGAGTGAACAAACTATCATTTACACACATCTGGCCTGACCTAAGACCCGTTAGGATAAACACGCTGAATGCTGAGTCGTTACCTATCAGCATCTCGTACATGATGACACCCAGGCTCCACCAGTCACACAGCTTGTTGTATCCATTCTGCATGAAGACCTCTGGAGCGATGTAGTCTGGGGTTCCCACTGTGGAGAAAGCCTGACGGAGGGGAGGAAGAGGGTTAGAGGCCGTTTGCTGTCAGGTGTTAACGTATTATTTCTAAGCTGTCGGGGTGTGATGCCGTGTGCAGACCTACCAGCTGCCTCCTGTTCCTCTTCCAGGTCTCTGCTTTCCTCTTGGAGTTCATGTTCTGGAAGGCTGCGGACACAGGACAGCTCACTGTTAAAAGCTGGGGCCTTTCAGATGCAATAAACACCTTAATACTTAATCTTAACCAGTCTGGAGTGACTGCTGGGTTGTTTTACCCAGAGACCTGTTTGACAGGATCAACTCTGTACAGTGTGTCAGTATAAACATGACAGATCGGTGTTGTAATGAAACAAAGCATAAGTGGCTGAAGTTGCATGCAAGTGATGGTTGAAATAAATAGAACGTCGCCTGACTTTGCTTACTGAGATCACTGGGCAGGCTATGGTTCAGGTTCTTGTAGAACTCGGTACGGTGAGCCCTCTTCAGTCCCGTGCACAGGCCAAAGTCAGACAGCTTCACATGGCCCTGGAAACAGAAAACAAACCACAGGCGCCTTCAAACAAAACATTCCTGGTACTTTGGGAACTTTCCTGTTTCTCTTTCCATTTCCAGTACATTTGAAAAACCAAGTAAATTATGCAACTTGTGAAGGATTTAAAAAAAATGACTGGAAGAAAACTAAAGCTGAAATCTGATGCCATCATTTCACCATGACGTTTCAGTATAGTTTGAATTCATCACCCAGAACTCTGAGGCCGCTACATGCTGATTTAGTGGACATGATACAATCGTGAACATGACAGTGGACTTTAGGAAGAGCATCTGTGTCCAACACATCTGGCCAATGAAGGTGATTCCGAAGTGATTTTCAACAACAACCCCAGCTGAGAAACTGCTCGACCATAACTAATCAAAGTGAAAATGGACACACTGTCTCACCCTGGAGTCTAGCAGCAGGTTGTCTGGTTTGATGTCTCTGTGGATGAAGCCCAGCTGGTGGATGGAGTCAATGGCCAGCACCGTCTCTGCTATGTAGAACTGAGTGGCCTCTTCTGTCAGAGTGTCCTTCTTCATCAGCAGGGTCATCATGTCTCCTGCAGCACAACAGCAGAGGCCACAGTGAGAGCCACAGCCAGAGGAGGTGGACAAGAACCTGAACCAAACAGTCCCTGATGACGAAGGTAGAATGCTCTGATGGTTCAGGTGGAGTTTTAGGGGCTGACTGGTCAAACAGACACTGTGGGAGCATCAAATTTCATAGCACAAGAAAATAGTCCAGAAGTAATATAGTTATTAGGATGAGGGACAGACATTTGTCATTTGCTGTCAGAATCACACCTCCAGGTAGGAACTCCATGATGAGGTAGAGGTTCATCTTATCCTGGAAGCTGTAGAACATTTTGACCACCCATAGGCTGTCTGCTTCTACCAGTATGTCCCGCTCAGCACGGATATGACCAACCTAACGAACAGAAGGGGACACACATGGGTTCAAAAATGTCCAACATGAGCAACAGCAGCATTCCACTGTGTGGGTTTCACTGGCTCCATACCTGCTCTTTCTCCAACATGTCAGCTTTGCGGAGGATCTTCATGGCATACACATGACCGGTGTCTTTCTTTTGCACCAGGCGAACCTGGAAGCAAACACACAGAGGTCATGCCAACCAGACAGAGGCTTGATAAATGAAAAGCAGTACTGAAATACAGTTCTATCAAATCAAATCTAACAATAATAAAGTCCATGTGAAAAAAACCTGCTGAAATACGCTGAGGGAACCCTTGCTGCCATTATCGTTACATCTCCAGACTCGTGAAACATGGTCAGGTTTACTGAGAATGACCTAAGTTCATATTTACTGATTTGCTCAGGGTATTAATTGTGCCTGTGTACTCAGATATTGCAGTACGTGTAGAGTACACCAGCTCTCTACAGGATGGCAGTCATGTTCAACTACTGGGATAATGTGAACACAATTCAGCAGGGACTACACTATCTTGCCTACTTATCAGAAGACGTAGTACACTCTCTCTGCTATGATCCAAGACTCTGCACAGTGTCTGAAATGTTAGAAAAGAAAAACTGCACAATCATGTCCCAAGTATTTAGGTAAAAAGTTGTTACCTCTCCAAAAGCTCCTCGGCCAATCACCTTCAGAGACTCAAAGTCCTCCAGACCCAGTCGGGTGCGTTTCAGACGCAGAAACTCTGTCTCTTTCCTTGCGTGCTGAGAACGTCGGATACGCTTCTGCAAAGTACAAACCCCACAGCTGCTACTGCACATCATTCACAACTGTACATTTTTAAAGCTGCAGCTAAAATACAATACTATACAGTTCCCTGAAGAACTTACCATCTTGTGATTGCAGTGTGACAGCTCGCAGTTTTGCAATCAACAACTGGTCTAATTGGAAGAATGCACTGTTCTTTTGTTTTGTTTTTTTGCATTCTTACAAACCCACCTCCAACTGTCACATTTTTATGTCAGCAGGCTAAGTTTTTAATCATCCTGGGGCTTTGGCTGTGCAGGAATTTCAAATCACAATGTTCTCAAGGGACCCCTACTCCAGTGAAAGTTCTTGGAATAAAAAGCACTGGGAACCTTCCGGTGGGAACGTAGCTTATGTAAACAACAAGCACTTTACAGCACTGTTCCAACAAATCTAAAAATCAGGCCAACACTGTGTCAAGAACAAAGCAACTTCAGTTCCTTCAGTGAGTTCTTCCATACGGTGTTTATCCATCAGCACAGATCAGCCCTGCCAGGCAGAGCCGTGTTGAGCTGCTGCAGCGTCAGCACCATTGTGTTTCCACTGCACTGTAAGTGCATTTTACATAAAATGGCTCCTTTTTCATTTGTATGCATGTACATATTTAGAAACAGATGGTTGTTTATCCTCTTTTTATTCTGCAAGGACGTTCCCTCTGCACAATATTCCATGCAATCACGTCTCAATGAGCCAGCTCTGCTGAAAGCGGGTCAGCATGATTACCCCCTGCTGCTAAAAACAGACGGAAACAGACGTCAGCCCATGCCCAGCTGGCTCTACACAATTACAGCGGGGTGGCCCTGGGAAAACACTGCAGGTGTGTGGGTGTCACTCACCTCTTCATCAGCCAAGCCTTCCTGATCCATCACTTTCTCCAGCTTCTGCTGCCTGAAAAGACAGTTTAACTATTACCACTGTCTGACAGCAGCATTTGTATCTGTTATATTGACAAGAAGGAAGAACAGTATCAGGAAAAAGGCAGAGCACACTTCATCTAGCAGCCCGTTGAAATATCAACACTGACCAGCACATATTAAATTTTATATCAGAAACTCAGTTTGAGGCCAGTCAAACATTTCCATATGTAGATCTGAAACCTGTGGCTGTTACCTCATCTCTCGCTCCTCATGCTGGGCAATGAGGTTACTGTAGAAGTTCTCCAGGGTCACTTTGGCCATGGTGACCCGCTCCTTGGTGTGGTTACTCATGGAAGAGCACGAGCTCTGGCCAGTCATCGCCATGCTTTACCTGGAAATACACAAAGCCGACAACATGAGTTAAGAGCCAGTCCACACTTGTCCATTCAGACTGCTGCCACGTCGGCTGAACAAAAAAACCACACTGTACCACTGAGGAGTAAGAGGATGGATGGCACAGTGGAGGCAGCAGAGTAAACTGTAGAAGGTGTGCTCTAATAAAACACGCCTTGTCGTTACACTGCTGAGCTCAGCTTTAAAAACATGGAATTATGAAATGAAATGACAGTTGACCCAGAAAAAGAGGAAGGAAAGCTCCTGGCTCTGTTGCCGAAATTGTGTCAGTATGAAGAAACTATGAGGAAATCTGATGGTGGAGTCATCCTGTGAGAGAGGAGGAGCTGAGGCAAAGTGAACTCCAGTATGTTTCTAAGCTGGACGGACAACCACGATACCACTACTGCTAATAATAATAATAATAATAATAGTAGTAGTAGTACAGTGGATGCATTTGTACTAACATCCTGTACAGTTAATTTGACATTTTGCTGGTGGGAGAGTCATTTGTGAATATGGAGCCCAAACAGCAATAACTGTAAACCATTTATAGGTATTTGACTGACTGAAACTTAGTGAATACTAAACTTCATAATTTGCCCCCAGAAGAACTAAATAAGGCTGATGGCATTACTAAATCAATAGTGGCATTTTATGCCACGTGTGTTTGAAAATGTAAAAACCGAAACTGTAATTCAAAGGAACACATTGCAGGGAGGGGGTATGTGTAATCTAAAGCAAAAAATAAATATTTAAAAAATAACATCTGTTCATTCAGCTGTTAAATATACTGTAGTGAGTGAGACAGCTGATCTAATGGGATTTCATTCATGCAGTAGATGTGGGTTTTGTATACGAGATGAAAATTAAGTGACAGAATTGTTTTATTATTATTTACAGAATCCTTAATAAAATAAGAGTAAGATCGTGTTCTTTTGGAGGTTTAGTCAAATGTTTCAGGCCTGATCTTGTTAGATTACTGCTGTATTTACTATTCTTTATTAAGACAGCTGGAAAAAAAACAACTTCAAATCAACTGGACTGGGTTTTTAGGTCGAAGACGTTTCACCTCTCATTCATCAGTTCTGCCCGACTGGCGTTGAGTCAGAGATATTTATCCCCATCAGTGATAAGACATAACCTTACAGTGTGAAGCTTGTTTAAAAGGCTACGATGGTCAGAATTTGATATGTCTAAATGACACATCATTTAATTAATTACACTGTAATAAATGTTTTCAATTGTCTGACACAGTGAGCTCTCCATGCATGGTACTGAAGTCCTGGTTTCCATTTGTTGATGATTTTGTACACCTTTTGTACACCTGTGACACACGGGGCCTCCCTCAGACTACAGGCTGCTTTGGATGACCTGCAGATCTCTCCAAAAAGACAAAATGTGTACATTTCACAAGAGCTCGACCCACTGATGTTTAACTGATGATACAGTCCAGCCTTACAAATATTTAGCAATCTTGTTAGACAGCAGATTGTCCTGTAAAACTCATGCCCAACATCTTTCTCAGACATTTAAAATTCAGTTTCAAGGCCCTACTGTCCAAACTGTCAGGTTATTTTATAACCTTAATGGAGCTCAGAGTTCATGACCTTAAGAATGGATGGTTTTCGGGACAATGCACCTCATTGGAGTGATATGTTGCTGTATGTGCGTGCGATGCCTTGAGTTGAATGTAGTGGGCGTGGCTTGTATGTATGTAAATTATTATATTTGTTATGTAAATTGTGATGCAAGTCGTTCACAGGGCTCGGTTTTACAGGAAATCTTGATCTCAGTGCGACTCCCTGACCAAATAAAGTTTAACCAGCTATTAGTCAAATATGCCTTTAGTGTAATACAACATGGGT